CTACTAATGTAACTGTAACCCCTCTGTACACTATTTTTCCAATAAAAATATATATGGAGAGAAAAAAAAAACTACTGAGAGCTATTGAATAATAGGATGTAGAGGTGAAGGAGAAAGAGCAATAGAGGAGGATTATGTAATTAAAGTACAATGTATGCTTTGTGACTCTTCCTGGCAGAACCCATTTGTACAATTAATGTACATTCAAAATTAAATCAATGAAAAAAATACGTTCTGAAGTTCAATAAATGAGCACATCAAAAAATGATGTAATAATAACTGCAATTATTATTGTTCCCGTTAGTAATTGAGAACTCTCTCCTTACTTTCAGATTACATGGAAAGTGGATGGAAATATTTAATTCAAAGCATCGGTGGGTATATGAGAAAATAATTTCTCCTGGGAAATGGTGGGGGGGGGAGGGGTTTGCATGGGGGAGGGCATGACTTTGTGATCCAGAACAACTATCAGGCTGGGGGCCTGGTTTCTCAACCCGTATCCTCTGCTGCTTACCTGGCAGAGGGCACATGGCTTCCCTCCTGAGTCTGCTACTTAAGTTCAGAAGACAGAAGCCCACCATGCCTTCTTAAGGTTGCAGGCTTCCCCCTATGAGACTATGTTGGGGGAACACTCAGGACGCCATAGGCATAAAGTGTCCTTAGCTTATTCTATTTTTATTATCTTGTTCATTTGTGACAGTATTGGGATTTGAACTCAGGGTCTGGGTGCTGTCCCTTAGCTTTTCACTCAAGCCTGGAACTCTGCCACATTGCCACCTCCAGGACTTTTGCTGGTTGATTGGAAATAAGAGTCTCACAGACTTTCCTAGCCACATTGCCACCTCCAGGATTTTTGCTGGTTGATTGGAAATAAGAGTCTCACAGACTTTCCTACCTGGATGGCTTTGAACCAGGATTCTCAGAGCAGCTAGGATTACAGGTGAGAGCTCCCAGTGTCTGGCTATGTACCTTATTTTCAACCAGGTCTCCTGATGTTGAGTGCAAACTCTCAAGCCTGCAACACACTACAGTGTTGATGGTCCGCTTTTTCCCTGGCTTTTGGAGAGGCTTTAATGAGGACATCACCCTGCAGCATGACAAGAATCCCAGGTTCTCCTGGCCTTCAGACTGTCCCAAGCCCTGCCTTCATCCCACACTCCTCCATTCCCCTCCTCCAGCTCCTCATCCTGAGTCTGACATAGCTTTGTCCTGAGATGATGAAGGAAGGAGATAGTGATCTTGCCCAGGTCCTCACTTCCTTCACCTCCCCTGACTCCTCCCCACAGACCATCCCAGGGCTCAGCAGGGACCTCATTGTGTGGGTGGGATGGGGGGGGACCAGCTGGCCAGTTCAGGAGAGGTGGTGCTGCCTCAGGGAAGCCCATATCCTTGTCAGCAGCTCAACACAACTGCAACTGTCATCACATTCCCACTCAGGCCTCAAAGTGTACAACACACACAAAATCACAGGAAGCGTGCCCAGGAGAGGCCAGGAGAACAGGCTGACAATGGAGCATCCTCCATTGGACGGGCTCTGCCTAGAGTCACCATATTGCATGGCAGGAAGGTGCCCCCACAGGCATCAGGGCCAGGAGCTGGTCTCTCAAAGGATTGTAAAGGAGCCCCATTGCCCACGAAGCCTCTGTGGAAGGAAGGCCCCTTCTCCTCCCATACTGTTTTCCCCAAATCCACACGGAGCTCTGTGAGTCCTTGGTGTGGAAGGATGATTGAGCAAAAGCTGACTGAGCAAGAAATAGGGCTTCTGGTCTCTTTCCATGACAGCTCCACTGATAGGTTCTCCCTTGGTGAGAGAGGCCAACATCTTGGCAGTCTATTTGTTTTGCTCAGATTTCCACCTAGAAACTGAGTTTTGAACTTGAATTCCTGGCTAGTGATCTTTTTTGTTGTTATTGCTTAAGAAAGATTTACTAATGGGTTAAGATTTCAGCAACATCAAAGTGATTGCAACAGGTTTGAAAAGCATACAGTCACACTATTACAGGCTAGAGAGTCACAACTGAGTTTTATACAATTAAATATTATACAGACCTTTGGGATTCATTAACTACCAGACTCAGAAATTGAAATAGACTAAATCCAGTATTAGTGCTCTAAAAGTTGGATTTTTTATCTGCTTCATTCTCTTATATATTCCTTAACTTTCTCCCAAAGACAGTGCTCTAAATCTCCCAAAAAAGTGATAGGCATAAAAAGCTCCGGTACTGGGCTGGGAAGGTGGCTCAGTGGTAGAGCACTTGCCTTGCATGCCTGAGGCCCTGGTTTGATTCCTCAGCACCACATAAGCAAAAAGAAAAAAGCCGGAAGTGGCGCTGTGGCTCAAGTGGTAGCGTGCTAGCCTTGAGCTGAAGAGCTGAGGTACAGCGCCCAGGCCCAGAGTTCAGGCCCCACGACCGGACCCAAAAAAAAAAAAACCTCCGGTACTAAGAACATACAGACAGCTGGGTGCTGGTGGCTCACGCCTGTAATTCTAGCTACTCAGGAGGCTGAGATCTAAGCATCATAGTTCAAAACCTGCCTAGGCAGGAAAGTCTGTAAGACTCTTATCTCCAATTAACCACCCAAAAAGACTGAAAGTAGAGCTGTGGCTCAAGTAGTAGTGCTCTAGCCTTGAGCAAAAAAGCTCAGGGAGAGTGAACAGGCACTAAGTTTAAACTATAGGATGGGCATACACACACACACACACACACACACACACACACACACACACACACACACAAACTCACACGCACACGCAGGCACACACAAACTCATACAAAACAAAATATACAGACCAAAGCTAGAAATCTTGACAGAAGACTTGAGTTTCACTTTACTTGAACCAATCCTAGGTGCAGTGAATACTGTATATGAGGAGAATATGGATCATGAAGTTTGTTGGTAAAATTTAAAACTCCAGCTAGAGGTCTTGCAGAGAGAGTCATGTCAGTAGTTAGGAGAGGAGGAGGTAGGGGTGGATCAAGGACAATGTGCCCTATTCCAGGAAAACGCTCCCCACACTACTGAGCCCAAATAGGGTCAAGGATCCATTCCCTGAAGAAAAAGTGATCATTTGTGCCCTCTACGTCTGCTGGGTGGAGGAAGAGGGAAGCCAGGACTCACATTTCAGGAGTGGCATACTCAGGGGCCCTCATCCGCATGCCTTCTTTCAGGCGACTGCAGAAGTCCTCATCCATTTGCACTCCTGGGTAGGGAGACCCACCTGCAGGGGATGGAGATGTAGGCATGTAATGGTTTTGGGGGCTAGGTACAAAAGCACCACGGTGGGGGAGGCAGTTCAGTGTTTCTTCTGGCTATTCACAATGATGGTTCAGTAATCATTCGCAGTGGCTGTGCAATGAACCTCTTTGGAATTCAGCATATCCTTGGCAGGATGCATGAATGGTATGGTTAGTCCCTGTCTGATCCTCGAAGGCTACTCCTGCCCATTTGGTCAGGGAAGGGGCAATCATGGGTCCCTGCACTGTACCCACAGAAATCCCATCATTACAGACATTCCTTCAATTAATGGCATGGGTTTGTTTGTTGTTGTTTTGGTGCTACTTGGGACTGAACTCAGGGCCTCTCACTCCCTCAGCTTGGTGAGCCATGCCTACAAACATTGCTCTTTTGCTAGCTATTTTGGAGATAAAAATCTCATGAACTTTTTATGGCTGGCTTTAAACATTGATCCTCTAGATTTCAGCCTCCTATGTGAGCCACCAACACATGGCTAATGACTTTTTTTTGGGGGGGGGGGTCGTGGGACTTGAATTCTGGGCCTGGGTGCTGTCCTTCAGCTCTTCAGCTCAAGGCGAGCGCTCTACCACTTGAGCCACAGTGCCACTTCCAGTTTTCTGGTGTTTCATTGGAGATAAGAGTCTCACAGACTTTCCTGCCTAGTCTGGCTTTGAACCTCGATCCTCAGATCTAAGCCTCCTAAGTAGCTAGGATTACAGGCACAAGTCACTGCTGCTTGGCTTTTTTTCTTTTTTCTTTTTTTTTTAAGCTAGGTTGCTTATAGATTAATCTAACCCCAGTGAAAATGAGGATGCTCCCTGAAGCTATTATTTTCAGTGAGCCTGACTAGGGGCAGGGCAGGCAAGGCCTCCTGGTCCATTCTGAGCTAGCCTTCAAGCTAAGCCATTTCAGTGTGTGTGTGTGTGTGTGTGTGTGTGTGTGTGCTTTCTAGTCATTGCTGCTGGTAGGAAGCAGCTGGGAGACATGCGGTGCTGGCACTGTGTCATTGGAGGGCCGCTGTATCCGCCAAGCTGCTTTTAAAGACTAGAAGCAACAGGTGTTGTCATCGAAAGCAGGGCAATGATTTTTACACATTACAGGAAGCCAGGGATGTTACTGGCTGACTTATTTGCTTATTTGGCAGTGTCCAAAATACTCTTAGCTAGAACTCGTGTTTGAGAGGCTTCACATCACTACTGTGTTGAGGAGCAGATGTGACATCTGTGCATAGGGGCTTCAGCAAGGTTTCGAGAAATCCATAGTGGACAGGACTGCAGGCTAAGAAAGATAAACCAGTGTTCATGGTTGGCATGAAGAAAGCAGCATGCAGACCTGTGTTGTTTGTGAATATCAGGATAAGAGCTAGGCTTGCTCTTTCTCTCTTTCTTCCTTCCTCCCTCCATCTCTCCTCCCTCTCTCCTTCCTTCCCTTCCCTTCCTTTCTGTGCCTGTAATAGGGCTTGAACTCAGGGCCTGAGCAGTGTTTTGAGTTTGTTTGTTTGTTTTCTCAAGGCTAGCATTCTACCACTTGAGCCACAGCGATGAGAGTCTTACAGACTTTTCTGACCAGGCTGGCTTTGAACTATAATCCTAGGATCTCAGCCTCCTTAGTAACAAGGCTTACAGGTGTGAACCACTGGTACCCAGCGATAGCCTGCTCATTCCAGCCTCACTTTCCCATTGGCTCAGTGGGCCACGAGGGCCTTTCTTAAGATATTTGGTGGTAAAGGTGAGGCAGGGAAGGAAGGGTGAAGGATATTAGAGCTCTATGTGGAAAACTACCTTCATAATCTCATAAATCATTCCTCCAGTCTGGATGTGCGTGCACACATAAATCACTGCTTATCTGAGAGGCTTCAGCCTCCCCTAGTCTTTGCAACTGGCTCAGGGGTTGACCTTAAGTTTGGGTCTATTCAGAGAATGCCTAGCAGAGGCCACAGACTGACTCCTAGGCTGCTTCCATATTTACCTAGAGAGAAGATTTCCCACAGCAACACTCCATAAGACCACACATCGCTCTTGGTGCTGTAGATTTTGTCAAAGATGGATTCAGGTGCCATCCATTTCAGAGGAAGTCGGGTCTAGAACAGGATAAGGGAATCTTGAGTAGACGAACATGAAAGCAAAGCACATCCAACGCCATTTCCCAGGGTCACCTCCCACATGAGATTGCCGAGAACTGTTTCTTAGAGCAGCTACAGTTTCCTAACAGAAAACTCATAAAGCACAGGGTGTTGTGCCAGAAGAGTAATCCAAGCTTCGCAGAGCTGCTGGAGGCAATACATGGTTAGTAAGTTCCTCTGGTAGGCCCAGCCTATCTTAACTCTGTGGCTTTAAAAGAAACCTCTGCCAGGCTCATGCCTGTAATCCTAGCTACTCAGGAGGCTGAGATCTGAGGTTCATGGTTAAAAGCCAGCCTGAGCAGAAAGTCTGTGAGATTCTTATCTTCAATTAACCACCAGAAAGCTGGAAGTGGTGCTGTGGCTAGCCTTGAGCTGAAGAGCTCAGGGATGATGCCCAGCCCCAGAGTTCAAGCCCCACAATGACAAAGCAAAATAAAATAAACCCCTTTCCCCACCAAGGCCTCTACTCCACAGGGTCACCTGTGAGAGTGAGTGAGAGAGAGAGAGAGAGAGCGAGAGCGAGAGCGAGAGCGAGAGAGAGAGAGAGAGAGAGAGAGAGATTAATGACAAGATCCCCTGAAAGTTGGTGGTGATTTCTCAGAACTTTCCTAAGTAAGAGGATTTATTGTTATTGTTGTTTCCTGTTATTGTTGTTTGGGCTTTGTCTCTTAGTTTTGTTTTTTGTTCACTTAAGGCTTGTACTCTATCACTTGAGCCACAGCTCCACTTCCAGCTTTTTGCTAGGTAATTGGAATCAAGAGTCTCATGGACTCTTCTGCCTGGTTGGCTTTGAACCAGGATCCTCACCCTCTTGAGCACGTAGGATTATAGCTGTGAGCCACAGGTACTTGGCACTGAAAGGAGATTTACTTATTGAGTGTGTGTGTGTGTGTGTGTGTGTGTGTTCTGGTACTAGGGCTTGAGCTCAGGGCTTCTAGTTCTTCCTTGGCTTTTTCACTCAATATTGGTGTTCTACTACATGAACCATGTTTTAAAAGACATCCTGATGTAAAAAGATAGGAGGCTAAGTCATTGCACAGGGTTTAGGTTTCATCGCAGTGGGAACACTGGGTTAGCATGTGCAGATACTGGCTTCAGTCTCTAGTATGCCCACCAAAGGAAAGGAAATGGGAGACTTGGTTTTTAGGAGAATGTATGGCTGGTTTCAAGCATGCAGACAAATCTTCCTTTTCTTCCAGATAACAGGAATCCCAGTGAGTTATCCTGGGAAAGGGATGAATGGGCAGTGGCAGGAAATAGGGAAAAATGGAGAGACAAAGAGATTTTTTTTTAAAGAGGTCTCTTCTAAACAGTGATTCTGGAATGGTAGTTTTCAGCGTATGTTTCTGGCCTGCTATGTATAGACAACATCATCTAGAAACTTGCTAGAGGTAAAGCTCAGAAGTACAGCGCTTGCTTAGCACACGAAAGGTTCTGGGTTTAATCTCTGCCACCACCACCAAAAACAAAGCTTTATGAAATGAGGGTTTTTGCTGGATTTTGGTGGTTTACCCACCAAAGGGAAACCTTGTGGGTTTACCCACAAGGGAAAGTCCATAAGACTCTGATCACTACTTAACCAACAAAAACCCAGAAGTAGAACTGTGGCTCAAGTGCTAGAGTGCCAGCCTTGAGTAAAACAGCTCAAGGGGCTGGGTGCTGATGGCTCATGTCTGTAATCGTAGGTACTCAGGAGGCTAAAATCTGAGGATCACAGTTCAAAGCTAGCCCAAGCAGGAAAGTCAGAAGTGACATGAAGCTGTAGTTCAAGAGGTAGAGTGCTAGCTTTGAGCAAAATAGCTTAGGAACAGTGCCCAGGCCCTGAGTTCAAGCCTTAAGACTGCACACACACACACACACACACACACACACACACACACACACACACACACACACACACACACACACACACTTCCAGCACTAAGAATTTGCATCAGGGCTCTGGGGTGGGGCTGGCTGCGGTTCAGCAGGTCTTCTAGGTGATGTATAATCTCTGCTGGAGAGCCACCAGCAGAGCCCAGACCCAAGCTAAAACCCTTCTGGAAGAGGTCGGACAGGGGAGGACACAGGAGGTCACCCACAAATAACACTGTGTTCAAAAACAAATGGGGGAGGGAACCCAGAGAGTAGGATGCTGCCGTGGAAGGTAGGGTTGGTGAGAGTTTCCTCCCCAGCAAGATAGCCATCCCCTCCCCCACCCTTTCCCCTAAGCGGGGGAACAGACACCTGCTGAATCCATCACCCGGGTTTATTTGAGGAAAAGAGGCCAGGCTGTTCTTTTCAGCAGGACAACGAACTCCCATAGGAGCTCCAGGCAAGGAAGGAGGTGGTCTCACCAAAAAAGGTCCCTGGAGCATACAACTAAGGTAAGCAAATCACGGTCAGCACTGCCCAAAGGATGGACAGCAAGCCCAGGGGTAGGGACCAGCAGAAGCAGATGACGGTGGCCTTCTGCCCACGCCAGTGCTGGCTGGCACGCAGCTCATCGGAACTGCTTGTCATCATAGGAAACCCAGGAGAGTGTTTGGGGACTACTGTTTGAGAAGTGTAAATATTTATCAAGGACTTCAGTGTGTGGTTTTAAAAAAAAAATGGTAGGGTATAAATGAGTCAAATAAACATCAGGCTGACTTACGTCTCCTTTTCTCACATAATCGGGGTTCTTATAAATATCCCGGGCGAGGCCAAAATCACAAATCTTCACCACATTGTTCTCAGATAAAAGAATGTTTCGCGCTGCCAGGTCTCGATGAATGCACTATAATAAAACAGTTGCATAATCAATGCACTTCCTTAATCTAACCGACTAATTTCCTGTGCCCTCTCAGGGTCATTATTATTCACTCGTGGATCCATTTCACATGCTGCAAAGGAAGCGAGTTGGAGCACAGAGTTACCACAAACATGGAAGCGCTTCTTTACAGCTACAGGTCCCTGGAGGCCCCCAGCCAAGAATTGCTCGGAATCTGTTCTACAAGTCAGCATCCTGGCCAACCACATAGACTGAGCTCCACCACGGAGCAAAACTGCCTGCAGCCTTTTATCCTAAGAAGCTGAATCAGACCTGTAGAAGCCTCATTTTTTTTCATCTCAACAGAAAATAATATTACTCACCAGACACCGGGTCAGATATTCTCCTTCCTCTTTTTCTGTCTACAATTTTAAACAATCTAAATCAATGATCGAAGTTGTTTTTGTGTGCACTGGTACTGGAGTTTGAACTCAAGGCCTGGGTGCTGTCCTTTAGTTTTTTTGTTCAGGGTTGACTCTCTACTACTTGAGCTACACCCCCACTTTCAGCTTTTCAGTAGTTAATTAGAAATCAGACTTTGCTGCCCAGACTTACTTTGATCCTAAGATCTCAACCTCCTGAGTACCTATGATCAGAGGTCCGAACCAGCGCCTGGCTACTAAATTATTCCAAATAAATGATTTTTATTAGTGTGTGTTAATTGTACAAAGTGAGAATTTTTGTTGTGAAATTTTCATACATGTATATACTATCCTTTGATTGTATTCACCCACTCTGCTTAAAAGGAACTTTTTTTTTTTTTTGTCGGTCATGTCGGCCTGAACTCTGGGCCTGGGCGCCATCCCTGAGTTCTTCAGCTCAAGGTTAGCGTTCTACCACTTGAGACACAGTGCCACTTCCGGCTTTTTCTGCTTATGTGGTGCTGAGGAATCCAACCCAGGGCCTCATGCATGCAAAGCAAGCATTCTTACCACTGAGCCACCTTCCCAGCCTCTAAAAGGAACATTTTTAAACTGTATCCTAAATATCTTTTATTTAAATTCAATTTTTACTAGTGGATATTAATCATATAATATAATGGATTTCATTATGACATCTTCACAGGCTCTCTCTTGGTAGCCCAGTCTGACTTTAAACAACTCCTGAGATGATCAGCCTGCCTCAGTCTGCTGAGTCTTGGGGCCATAGGCATGTGGTACCTCATTTACTCAAGCCAAAGTTTTGTGGGAGGCCCCATGTGGCCGCATTGTTAGCGGCTCTCCTGGGCAGCTGTGTACTCTGAGAGTCTGGCCAGCTTTAAAAAGCATGCCAAAAGCTGCTATATTGAACAGCCACTGGATTTACCTGCTCCTAGGCAAGGTTCTCTAAAATTAAATTCTACCAACTGGGGCCCAGGGCTCATGATTCTCAAAATTCCTCATATGAGGCAAGGTAAGACCCTGGGGTGATGCTTATTTTGGAGTTGAGGCCACAGGTCCGGGCCAATATTAGGAAAAATGAATTCACAGCAAAGGCATAGGTCTAGAACAGACCTTGAAAATTAGAAACAGCAGAAGAAATGACTCTGAATTTTTTCACCCTAAAGAAAAACAATAAATGCTTTAAATATAATTAACTTTAAAACATTTTTCTTTGTATAAATGTATTCAAACATGACTTCATGCTTTATTATAATGTATAATTATCTCTGTGTACAAGTAGCTTATGCCTATAATCTTAGCTACTCAGGAGATGTAGATCTGAGGATTGAGGTTCAAAGCCAGGTGGGATAGAAAAGTCCAATTAACTACCAAGCATCAGCCTTGAGCAAAATAGCTAAGGAGTTCAAGATCCACTACTGATACACACATACACACACAGAATGTATGATTTTTAAAAGTGAAAACAAA